CTAAAGATAGTTTTACTTTATGTAATAACAACGCTGACGTCTGGTAGTAGAAATCAAACATTTTTCTCAGGTGAATGGTGAAGAAACATAAGAAATTTCGTTGTCTTCAAAAGTTATTGCACTTTTAAGTACGCGGATAAAAGAATATGAAGAAATTACCTTTCTTGTATGATAATGAAAGTTTTGGTAAATTCTGGTTTTAAAAAACCAAAATATACGGTATTTAAAATTATCATTAAGTAGTTTTTCCATTCATACGGTCACTGTAAATTTTAATTTTCAAAATTATGTTTCGCATTACCACGCATTTAGTGATAAAGGCAAATTTGAAAAGAAAATTTAACCGAATAAATCGTTTTTATGCTATACTCTGAGGAAGGTAACAAAATTAAATTACTAAAATTTACCATATTTGCCGAATTATATTGTCATATTAAAAAACAATATTTTATTTTTAATTTTACCAAAATCATTACCAAAGCACTAAGGCGGTAAAAATTACCGAGCCTTTAATTGTCCTCATTAAGCCAGAAACACGGTAAATTTTACCCTATTCTGGTAGTTGTGAACATACTGTTTTTCTCACTGTATGCTTTCGCTATGACACTTCTTCATTATAAACATGATTTTATCGATTTCAACTGGGACACATTCATAACATTGAAAAGTGAAGTTATGATCTATTGTTGGTCGTTGCACTCCGTAAAGGTTATCGTAAAAAGCTAGTCGTTTAGTGATGAATTAAATATGAACTAGTGAAAAAAGAAATTTTGAATGATATAAGTATGACTTTTATCATTCTAAATAGCGTATCTAAAATCATAATAATAAATATATCTATAACAAACTTTATGTTTTACTATAAACATGTTCAAAAATAAACTATAGAAATTTTTCAATTTTTTATAATTGCATTTCTGGGGTCGAAACATGAATGAAGTTATGAATGAAGTGTAAATTAAAAGTAAATAAAAAATACCAAAACATTTAAGTGAAAACTGAATTTTTATTTTATTTCAAATATTTTACTTATCAATTTAGTAATTTTTTGTTTTTATTTCATAAAAGCCTAAGAAGTGATTTGTTAAACTGTTTCAAAAATTAATGCTATACACTATTGAAGTTTAGTAAAACCGTAATTAATTCCCTGCATTTAAAAGTGAATTATAAAATGCTATATTAAATTTTCTTTCATCTAAATTATTTTTCAAAATGAGCATTTTTAATGCTTAGCCGAATGACAAAAAAATTTTTTTCAGCGAAAGGTAAATTAAGATACCGACGATAATGTTTTGAAACAATTTTCCGTTCAAAAGTATTTTTAAGAGTAACAAATAATTTAATGAAGTAATTTAATTTGTAATTTCAAGCTGTGATAAACATTTAGCAATTTTTAAACTTTAATTAATTACTGAAAATATTCAATGCACCGAAAGTTTTTTCAAAACAATATAAATTCTTAAGCTGCATACCGAGAAAGCTACATTCCATTCTAAAATTTGAAATATATATGAAATAAAACATTAAGCCTTAGAATAATTAAATTATCTGTTTATTTATTTCGCTTCATAAAAAAATCACTTTATATAGTATATATATATACTGGTACCTTGTTAAAAATATAAAATAAAAATTAAATGACATTTATTTTATGTTCCGGTTGCATTTTCTTATTTGATAAGTAAGAAGAGTGCAAGAATTTCTAAATCCAATGAATTAAGAAAGAAAACTAGTCCTCTTTCAGTATCAATTTTATTCCCATACTGTTAATGTGGCTATAATGAAATATTTTATATATATATATATATTTTATAAATATATATTAATAATCAAAGTATATGTGTACTTTAATCACGGTACCTGCTTAACTCAAGAAAGACAGTGTGGACAATTAAGAAGAAAATCATGCATATAAATCAAAATATGTGCAACATGCTTGTCAATAATCACTTTATCAATGCAACCACTGTACATGCATATCAATATTTATTTTTTGACTTCTGGCACACTATTAAAATTTCCATTCTTAAATTATGGTAAAATAACCGAACAGCAGTCCTTGCATCCAATTAACCGTAATATTTACGATGGATAACATTTTACGGTTTTGAAAACGTTTTCCTAAGTTGTATGGTTAAGAAATCCAAAGACCATTAACACAAACTATACGGTTTTTTAACCATTTACAAATAAATAACATGGTTTCATAACCGTCAAAAGTAAATATATATATATATATATATATATATATATATATATATATATATATATATATATATATATATATATATATATATATATATATATATATATATATATATATATATATATATATATATATATATATATATATATATATATATATATATATATATATATATATATATATATATATATATATATATATATATATATATATATATATATATATNTATATATATATATATACTTTGCACAATAAAAACCAAAATCATTTTTTAAGTACATAAATACAATTATCTTTTTTTTTGCAATTTCCTTTTGTAAACATAAATAGACACTCATCGTAGCGTTAAATTACATATTATTCATTTCATTAGCTTCAGATACACAACCTGATTACGTTTATTTCAAATAAATAAATATTCGTCTTAAGAAAAAGTACATTCTGTTATTGATTCGACCAAGAAAAATATCTAACAAGGTCTCAATACCAGAAAAAAGCATGCCAGCTTGTTTAGGCAGTATAGTGACTTCTTTCTAATAAGCTGTGCATCTTAAATTTATGCAAATTGACAAAAAACCTCTTCCTCGGTTGGCAAAGAGTGGGCAGAAAAAAAATGTCAGCAGCCAATTTATAGGGAAATATATTTCTTATTTTTTTTATATATTTTACATTTGCATAACGTGCTTTTTTTGTTACTTCACTAATAAAAATTTCATTAAGTTAAACCCACCTCATTTGCTTTGATTTATTAAGAAAATAAACTTAATTTATGCTTTTGTTTCTTTCTAAATAAGCCTATAAATAACTCTTATTAATCCCATCTCTTTTTTTGCACTATTTTTTTTATATTTCTTAAAATTTACTTTAAAATAGGTTTTTTTCTTTATTATTAATTAATCATTTCTTGTTATTAAGTTTTTTCTTATTAAATTAAGTTATTGTTTGTTTAGCACTTATTGTTTGTTTATATTTACTTAACTACAAAAATTTTATAGGGATTAAAATTAAAATGCTTATCATATTATGCGTTATTTATCACATATTATCATTACGTCATGACTAAATAATAAAGCAATAGTTATTTCTTTATTTTTGTCCCCGTTTTTGCGTTAACTAATAATTATTTTGAATGAAGAGTTTTTCCTGCTAAAATTAAGTGTAAGTTCTTTTTAGTGTGCACTGTCACAAATTTTTTAATTATTTTCAAAAAATAAAATAAATTAAACCTAGCATGCATATCGGAACTATTTTTATTTATCATACATAATGACTTAAAGCGAAAATAATTGTAATTTTTGTAATAATCAAACCAACTGTTTTGATGTTTTCGTTTCATTTAAAAAAACGTCAAAAGTCAAAATGACAAGCGTCAAAAGTATAAATTTATTTTGGTGTGGGGAATGAGGATAGTTTCTTTTAAATAAATTAATCGAGGCGAAAATTAATTTGAAGATACAAATGATTTATACATAAACGAAGTAAAGCAATCATTTCAAATTCAATGAAAAAAGAACCTAAGTTATGAGAGATAGCTTATGAAATGTGCCAGCATAGTTAATATTAAAGTCCATTTTATTTTTTGTAGAGAAATAAGCAGTTATTTTAAAACAAATTTTTCATTTCAGGTTTTTATAGATCAATTTAGTAAATGAAATATTGCTTCTATCGTTCATTTTATTATTTTGTTTTTGAGAATTACGCAGTTTTTTCAATACATATTTTGTTTTCTAAAAGAAGATAGTCATGGAAGATAGTTAAGATAATCATGTATCAAGTTAGCAAACTCATTGTTTTAATTTAGTTATCCAATATGATATTTTTTAAATTAACTACTGAGACATCATATGCATATTAGTTAATACTTTATATAATTTTGCATTTCAGCTTTAAAGCGATTAAAAGCTTTAAAATGATGTTTTCAACGCATTCTTAAAATTTTTTTTTCCTTTGCTGGTAGTGGTAAACTCAAAAAGACCCAACATTCAGAATTGAAGAAAGAACACCAGATTTTAATTTTACAATACCTTGTTAATTTGATAACTTGAAAAATACTTCCCTAAATTTGCATGAAAATTTTCTGTTCCGAAATTTGTCGGAGAACTCTCATTTCAAATGCGAAGTGAAAGAAGACGAGAGGTCACTAGTCCCAATGTGTCTAAAATGCTGTAAAAATAACTCTATTTTGAGAAGCATTTTGATGTTTGTGAATGAAAATAGTCATGAATGAAAATATAAATGAAAATTTTTATTTGTTGGAGCGAGGACATTATAGTGATGATATAAAAGTCAAAACCACATGGTATTTTAGAGGATTGGCATTCTTCGTCATCTGTTTTGTAACTGTAACCGACATTGTACTTAAGCTGCATTTACACGAGCCCCGACATCAGTCTCGTGACGTCACAAGACGAACGAGAAGCCAATTTTTCACCTCGTAGGTCTTTCAAGAGGGTACTGCAAGGTAAAGACGACTTCAAGTCAGCTCGGAATTCAAGAGCTTGATAATTAGTTCTTTGCGTCATGTGCTTATTTTTTGCAATTCCTTGCAAGGTTATCTTAGTATCAGGAATGGTGCACATTTGACAAGCTTTTTTGCTTATGCAAATAAAGAAACATAATAAATAAATGGCCATATTAGAAACCTGTCCTTAAATGGAATCTTAATTTATCATAAGACAGAATATACTAACATAAACAAATTATTTGAGACATAAAGTGTACTTTTTATACTGTCCATTTAATAATATTATTTTGACTCTAACAATTAATGTTATTTATTTTCTCTTTGCAGGTTAAAAGATATCGCAAAAATGAAATAAAGTCTGCATTTTCAGAGGAAATAACATTTCCAAATATATATTATTTAATAAGTGTTTTCATCAAGTACCAAAATTGTCAACGAAAAAAAAAATGAATAAAAAATCAAACATCATGACTACTGATGAAAAAAGAAAAATATTCCTTTCTTCAAAGTTAAGCTAAAAACTCTATTCTTTGTGAAATAGCATAAAAAAATTTTATTAATTTTAGAGCTTGCAAACACTAATGAAGTTTTTAATAATTAATGATAGAATGAGAGTAAATGAGAATGCCGTTACTACTGCTATTAAGGACACAGTTGGAAACGGAAATGTTGATAAAAAGGAAAAATAAAAGGATTAGAAATCATGAAGTATTCATTTTTAATCCTTTTGCGAAAGCATATCCCTTTACCAAGAGCTCTCAACTGGAAAACTTAGCTCCAAAGCTTTAATCACAACTTTTTTAACTCCATTTTTATATTATAATTATTAAATAAGCTTGATTGTCTGCTTTATTATGATGGTTAAAAAAACTCACGTTTGTTTACTTTAAACTCATTGTAGTAAACAGTTATTATCATTATCAAGTGACAATTGTAAATGATTTGTTTGTTGTAATACGAAGTAGTGGCTGCATTTTTCAGACTATTTCTATCTGTTTATTCCGTCCCTAATTAAAGGCGTCAACACTACTCACAGCTGAGCTTTTAAACACTGATAATAATTAGACAAAAAAAAGATTCTACGCTTTATATCTAAAAAAGCGATAAAATATATATATAGATAATATAGATATTTTGAGATTTCACTGCACATTACGAGAATACCATTCTATTTGACATATCTGAAAATATGAAACAAGCATATCTTTAAAAGGAACCATATCAAACAATATTAGAACAGCTAACGACAATTACTTACTGACTCCAGAATTTATAGACTATCATAGGCATCGAGTACATCTCTTAACCATAACTACACTTTTGTTTAAAAACCATCATACAAGCCCAAATCTAGAAAATAGCAGGATCTTACTTCAATGTAGATGAAATGTTGGTGTCAAAGCACAAAACATCAAGGCATCTGTTGAAGTTGATGGTGCTACATTTCCATTTACAAATAAAGAGCTAATTCATATTGAATTCTGTAATAAATTATATAATTAGCCAGTCAAGAACCATGAAGCCTTTAGATGTCAAGAAACGTTCATCAACTATCGTAACTGGATTCATTGTATTCTGCTAAGTACCATGTACCAACCCACTCGGACCATAATAGATTGTGACAACCGGGTGGTGCTTAACATCGGTGGAATACGTTTCGAGACGTACAAAGCCACCCTCAAGAAAATTCCAGCTACTCGTTTATCCAGATTGACTGAAGCTCTCGCCAACTATGATCCAGTTCTTAATGAGTACTTCTTTGATAGGCACCCGGGTGTCTTTGCCCAGATTCTAAACTATTATCGTACTGGAAAGCTACACTATCCAACCAACGTGTGTGGGCCACTCTTTGAAGAGGAGCTTGAGTTTTGGGGACTCGACGCCAACCAGGTAAGATACATACTTTTAAGAAATCATGATCTTTAAATTTAATAAAATGCCATTTCAGCCCAGTGGTAAAAGAATCGGACTCCGGTCCAGAGAACCTCGACTCTGCTAAGATCCCCCGAGCATGTGATATGCGTACTTGAAAATCGATAAGTCCTGTGTTCGATTGTTGAGTAGTACAAGAGGTACAGGGATCTAAGGAAAATTTCCTTCCCCTTCAGATCTATGTCTAAACTAAGAGGTCTCACTAATTCGGGGTGCTGCCATCTATCGGTAGGTTTCTGAGTCAAGATATACATTTATCCTTGCTGTGCCTTCTTATCAACACGAAAGTCTCACCTTCCTGACTTAATTCGCAAAATGCTAATATCTGGCGAGATTGGCTTGTCCAAGTGTCATTAGAAAGAACAAAGTTTGTAAATAATATACCTTGGTTTCTAATATGGTCATTTGATTCACTCTCTGTTGAGTCGTGGCTGCAAAGTTGAAGAACAAAGGGAATTTAATACTAAACCCAAACCATATGTCAAATATAGGGTTAATTCTTGACAGTTTTGCTCTTGAGAGACATTTGACATGCGGTAAAAGACTGGGTAATGTGGTTGGTAATGTTGGTATTGATGGGCTGTAATTTTCTTCATTCGCATAGAAGTATTAACCTCTTCACTTGACCAATGATAAGCTTACTCTTTTCACATTGCTCTTTCCGCAGTACGATGTGAGATTATCTTAGTCTGAGAATTGATTTTCATCTATTCTTCCGTCTGTAAAGTTTGGTAGCAAACACAGAAGAATAATGGTGAGGATTTTGAAGGAGAACCGTTGAAATAATGTTCACAATAAAGAAGAGTGAGTTCTCATTTACCTGTAGTAGAGACCAAAGCTTTGAAATATAAACAAATTAAATTTCATCCTGATTATCTTTAATACACAATACTACAATAATAAAATACTAAATTATATATTTTTGCCCTCTGTGGAAACCGAAACCATAAATAAAATTCTGAAAAGCATCCTTTTATAATTTTATCATATTGCACATCCTATAAGCTTAAAGCATTACTTTTGAAATAATTTAATGTCAATTCCTTAGTGAAGTGCTTCAGTTTTGTTCCCACATCTGTAAAGTGCATAAGTGAGAATTAGGTTTAAAACTGAACCTAATATTTTTTAATGCTTACTACGCATTCTGACAAAGTTCAAAATTAAGTCAGCCTATAAGAAAGTGAAAGTTAAGTGTCGAAAAAAAAGAAAGTCTCTCTCTTTCGTATTTTTCATCTTCCCTTTTCTTAATTTTGAGATTATAATACTGCTCCTATGTAGCAAATACTTGAAATAGTTTGAACTACTGAAATGTATAGATTTGTAACATAAAAAGTTGACTCTTTTCTTAATTATCGTCCTTACAAAATTTTAATTCTTCATTGTAACGATCCTTTTTGTTTGTAAATTTGCTTGTTTATTTGTAAAATTGCTTGTAATTTTAAAATTTATTTCTCAATTTGCTTGTTTTATTTCCATTTGAATTAGTCGTATTGATCACTCACGTTGCCATCTTGAAGTTGATCAAGTTACTTACACCAAAAGTTGTTAATTATGTTTATAATTTTGCCATTTAATAAGCAAAATTTTTATTGAAGTAAATTTGCTTCGAATTTTGCATTTCTTTGTTCCTAAACCATATCACGAAGAAATATTGAAAATTTTAACGATAGTCTGGTTTCATCAAATTCTGTTACTAAGCTTCTTTAATTAAAAAATTCCTTGCTTACAATTATTTCAATCTAAATATATGTATATTTCCTTTTTTTTTTCTTCAAATTTATACTATTTCATCACATTTTGAACAAAAACAGCTTACATCCAAAGTGCCCTCGGCGATTTATTTTCGCTAAAACTAACCCTTTACTCCCTTTCAAACATAAATCACTTTGTTTAGATTAATATCAGAGGAGAAGGAGTTTCTTGATGAAAAAACAAAAAACAAAACAGGAAAAAAAATGGATATCTTCTTTTCTTTTTTCGACAGTCCTACTTTCCAACTTTGTTTGGAATTTCTTTATAGGCTTCCTCATTTCCTCGTAAAACAGTCAAAGTTGTCCAAACCTGAGACATTTAAACTTAATTACAGACTTCTTTTGAAGATCTATTCTTTTATATATCAAGTATTTTTAGAGAAAGTTCTTTGTTTTGTACCTTTGATATTTCTATGCTCACATTCACTGAAGAACCGAATGTCGGAAAAATCGAACGTGTTTAAATTTGACTTTGCTGTTTCTCAGAGTTCTTTTATCTTTTTTGCGACATTTATATTATTTGGGAAAATCTTAGCACCTTAAATTATATGATTAGTTTTTATTTTTATTTTATGTTTTATAATTAAGAAATTGATTCTACAAATTATTAACTAATTGACAAATATCTAGTTTATGGGAAACTATTAAGGAAACACTCTTACATCAATACTGAATTAATATAAAGTTCCATTTGTGAAAACTATAGAGACCAAAGAGTTGTTTTCACTTATAAAAGTTTTTCGCAAAAATGCATGTCAGGCGAATTATAGTGTCATCAGATATAAATTAGTCGAATTACCAATGAAATAATTGCTACTCTGGTTGTCTTATGCCACTGACAATACTGAAAAGCCTATTTCAAGGCAGATTTTCCAGTGACGCCATCTAGGGCACAAATTCAGCATTCCTCAGGCACATACGTCACGGCCCGTTTTACCGAGGAGGGGTATTCACACATTGTATTTTTAACCCATCACTCTCCGATCCAGTACCCCCAGAGGTATTAATTTTTTGTGGGAACTTGGAAGACCTTAAAACCCCGACGGATTTAGCTTGTACCAGTTACCATTTTGTATATGGGAAGGCTTCGGTCAGAGGGAATCGAACTCACAACCTCTTGGAGAGGGACTTAACGCCTATAAACCAGGCTATCCCTGCTCTAATTAAAAAACTAAAAATGTGATTCAGTGCGATTCGATAATAGAAAAAGGCAATTAAAAACATATTAATTTATTAAGACACATCTTTGGGTCCATCCAAAACATTTACCAACCTCTTCAAACGTAACCTTTTAATTGGGTTTAGGAAAAAAAAAGGTCTTTTCAAAAAACACATCTAATAAAAGAAGCAAAGTATCGAAATGTTCTAACAAATTCGATTTATATTGAATATAGTTATGAGGAATTTTGGAATAATATATCTGAATAACTAATAAGGTGACTAGATTTGTTGAGTGACACCTATCTAAGATTAAGTAACAGATAAATGTAACGTATTACAAATTATAACCGACCAAACATTGAAACTCAAAGCATTTGAAGGAAGCATATTTTAAACTGAGACATCCTAATGAAAAAAAATTAACAATAGATCATCAATACAAGAAGCAGCTATCAATTTTCACCAATAACCTAATAGTAACCTAATATTAATAATCAACACAAAGCTAATAATTTCTGAAGATATTGTGCGAATTAAGTATTAATTCAATAGGTTTCGAAGTAAACTCTTGTAGTAGTAACTGTTTTTGTGTTCAGCTGTAAAATTTCAGAATTAACTTTTAAAGTCCTCTTTAAAAATATTATTTCTTAAGCTTTGGTCATTAGCATAAAATAAATTCTTCTTATTTCGGAATTTCTGAAAAGGAATGATTTTACATACTCTTTAGACAAATTTTTTGCAGATTCTTCTGGTTTTCGAAGCTAAAAAACTTTCTAAAGGATCAAGATACAAGAATATGGAAGACTCAGAGAAAAATATCAGAATTATACGGCATTCCTAAAGAGCATTTTAAAAATTTGTTTTTGAAATTTTTAAAGGAAAGCCGATTTTAAAAAATTCAATTTTTCAGGATCTATTCGACCGATTTCACTAAAATTTTGTACTTTGCCGTGTAAAATTATGTTCTGTAAAATGATATATAAAATTGAAAACCATACAATTCAAAATTTTTCTGACTATTATTATATAAAATAATAAAACGTGTAAATATTTACGAATAGTTATTTTTCGCATGAAATTATATTTAAATAAATAAATGCTATAATTGGGAGTTAAAAGTTTCCATTCGCTTAAAAAGCTCTGGGAATACGGTAAAATACTCAAAAAATCAAACTAACATTAAAATCTTCAGAATTTGAATCGCTCTCCAGATCAAACTATTGGAGCCGTATTTCTCAGATTGCTGCTACCCCTTATATTTTGGGAATTAGAAATCCGAATACGTTGGAAAAAAGGTATGTTTATTCAGAGAAAGTACATTGTCTTTGATTTCGTAACTTAAAATAATGTCTGCACTAATAGCATATTTGAGGTCATCCCATCGAATTATTAAGAATGTGTCTTAGAACGCGAAGATCCGATCATTAGATCAAAAGTTATTCCGGATAATCTGTTTGTTATTTTGAGCACTGTATATTAAAAAAACTGAAGGCTATTTTAAAAGGCATTGAATAAGTATGTAACTCACATTTTATAATACGCAGTTATTATGTAGTTATTTTTCTTAAAATTAATACTCACACCTTGTGCGATAATAATTATACAGGGGTTGGACGACGTGGGGACAGTATGGGATTTAAAGAAATAATATTTTTCACTATTCAATGGATCTGGAAATTTTTTTCTGTTAGAATTATCAGGATATTCTTAAACATTATGATAAATTTTTTTAAGTATTATTATTTAAAATGACACAAAACTTACTCCAACTCTACATCAATCAAAAGATCGTTTTTAAATGACAATGATTGTAAAATATTGGTTTTATTAAAAAACAGTAATCGTTTAATTACTCAGTTTTCAAGATAAATATGCAAATAAGGCACAGTATGCATATCAATGTAACTAAGTGATTAGTAGTTTTTACAAGTGAAAATATCATAAGTAGTAAAGGAAACCAAGATTTTTCTCAGCATAATTAGGACATTTTTTACATCGATACAAATTCCAAATTGAAGCTGTTGTTGATATTGGAATAATGATTATGGTCCTTTAAGACATGTTGAAGTAAACTTTTCTTCGTCTGGCTATACTGAGAAAAAATGCTATTTTTATTAAACTGACATATTTAAGAATGATTTTCAAGCAAAAAAACAATTTCAACTTTTTTTTTTTTTTTGAAAATGCAAGATTTTTTTTATTGATTTTTAATTCTTGATTTAAATTGATTTTTAAATCTTGCATAAAAATGAAATACAGCACCCATTAAATGTTAAATCATAATTTGTATTTCATTTAATTTCAGAAATTTTTTTAAAACGTGCAATCTTAAAAGTTCTTTTTAACATACTATTAATAATTAATAATTGATTATATTATAATCTAATATAATCAATTACAAATTATTTTAGAGTAAGTTAAATAATAAATTTAAACAGAGGAAAATTGAGGTTGCATTTTTACCTATTACGTTATGTCTTAATTTTAAACTTATTAAGATGTATTTATTAATACGATATGCTAGTTAGCAGACATAGAAACAATGATGTTTTTTTACTTCCGGAAATAATAGGTAGAGCCTTGCTGTTGGATGACGTACACCGTTCACAGGGATACGCAATCTACACTAGCAATACTCGACAACTTGGACTTGGATGCTGAGAAACCGAGTGATGAAGAACTGGCGAGGAAATTTGGCGTAGAGGAGCAGTATCTTGCTGGAAAAATGAACTGCTGGCAAAAAATCAAACCAAGGATCTGGCTCTTGTTTGATGAACCTGCATCTTCAATAGCTGCAAAGGTAAATTTTTATTATAATAAAATATCGAAATTCTTTTTGAAACTTCGACTGAATTTAGAAATTTTGCATACTGTTTGGGAATAAAATTTCTCCAGTATCTATTACATGTAATAGTAATTTAATTATGCCAAAATATCGTCATACAATTATACAGCCAAAAATTATCTTAATTTTTTTCCTCTATTTAAAGATCGTTTAAATATTTAATTTTTCTCAGGAATTTCAAACATATCTCAGGAATTTCTTTAGCTATTTTTTACTCTTTCAGAAGAAATCTGTTAAAATGTATGATATATATATATATATATANTATATAAATATATAAATGCATGTTGGTGGATCATTAAATTTTGTATCTTGAATTAAAGATGAAATATTTTCATTTAATGGCATATCTTGCTTCCATGGCAAAAAAGAATTCAATCTTGAAGAGTGCTTCCTAAAGTCATAAAATTGTTCGTTAACTGAAACATGAATATATTAGATAACTCTTCATAGAGAGATTCTTTTTATTTATAAAAATCTCCAATTTTTATGGTTGATGTCCAAAGTTAGAGTAATTATTAGACATAAATGTAAACGAAATATTTTGTGAACTTTATCAACAAAATATAATTAAATGAATTTCAAAAAAATAAAACGAGCGAATTAACTGAAATTCATTTCATCTATAGGTTTATTTTCTGTATTGTTTTCCCCCATATTCTCAGCAAAATATATTAAAATATGTAACTCATGCCAAAATATCTTTTTTTCTACTAAAAATAAAAGTGTTTCAAATACATCTCTTTAAAAAATCGAATATTTGATTCAAGTTTTTAAAATTATATTTTTATTCGATTTGAATTAAGTGCTTGATTATTTATTTATAAAAATTTATTGGATATATAATCAAGATTTTAGAGACTAATTTGAATTTTGATGCTATAATAAGTAGTATTATATTAAACATATTTCCAAAATGTTTTTAAGAGGTAACTAAAAATTAATAGAATAATATTATGTAACAAAACTTTTTGTTCTTGGAATTGCAATTTTGCAGCCGGAAACTTTTCGTATTATAACAAAAAAATTTACAGTGTAGCAATGAGTTAGTTTTTCTCTTCATTGCTTTTACATTTTTAATTCATGGGATTGCAGATTTAACATTGATCCCTTACAAAAAATAAGGTTTTCTTTAGGTTGTTTTCATGTTGACAAGTGTAAAAAAGTCTTCTGAGGCAGAATATGAGGCTATGTTTGCCCCAAAAATAACCTTATAAATAAACCTCAATCATCTTTACCTCATTTAAACCTCATATATAGTTTATGGTTCCGATATAGTTTATCTATTTTAGTTTACAGCTGGTGAAATTCTAATAAAGTGTAGAAAAATTAAACACCAACCTCAAATGCGAAATAAACTACTTCATATACCTTGATCAAAAACTTTAGGAGGTAGTTTTTTTAAGTTTGTTTTTGAAGTCGACTTCAAATAAACCTCAAATTAACCTTGAAACCTCAAAACAGCCTCAAATAAACCTAAATAGCTCTTTAAATTTTTGTAAGGGATGTTATTCTTGACATAAATTTTTTAAGCCGTTTATATTTGCCTAACCATTTTAGATTAGATAATATTATGGTACTACTCCTTCATCATCAGACCTGCAGCATATTCTCTTGTTTTTATTACTTATTATTATATTATACAAAATTAATACATTTTAATATTTTATAATAATGCTTTATATTTTATACTTATTTTAATATTTTATACGTTAATACAATATTTCGTAATTATCTGCCCCTAGCAGTGTTTTTTAATAAATTTAAGTAAAGTAGAAGATAATTTTTAGAAGTTTAACGCAACAAAAAAAAGTTACGCATATACAAATTAAATCTCTTCAGCANGGTCTTAATGAATTTAAATGTATGCCTGCCTTTCTCAGAATTTTCCCAATTGGTTTTCCACCTTGCCATTAAATATTGTTTGATTTCGGTTTTAGCTTGTTTGGGGGTCTTCAGAACCTGGAGATCCACACTGTCAGAACCAATGGCTTCCTTTGCTGCCCTGTCTGCCTCCTCATTGCCCTGGATCCCCACATGTGCTTTTACCCAGTTCAAAATAGTGTTATTATTATATTATACAAAATTTATACATTTTAATATTTTATGATAATGCTTTATATTTTATACTTATTTTAATATTTTATTCGTTAATACAATATTTCGTAATTATCTGCCCCTAACAGTGTTTTATTAATAAATTTAAGTAAAGTAGAAGATAATTTTTAGAAGTTTAACGCAACAAAAAAAAGTTACGCATATACAAATTAAATCACTTCAGCAACAGCCCATTTTGGGCAAATGTGGTGATGGAGGTTAAGGCTCCTTAATTTTTGTGATTAATGGCATGGTTGAAGCAAAGTAGTCAACATTGTGGAAGCAGGTTGGCTTTTATTTCCCATGAAAGCATGTATTCATCAATTTGAAGCTGTTTCCCCTATCACTATGGTCAAAATAAAATCGATCTTCAGTATATTTTCTGGACCGTTTCTTTTTTTTTTAGGAAATTTATTTCTTTTAAATGAATTCATGTTTCATGCATAAATATATTTCAACCTAAATATAAATTAAATGTTAAAAGCAGACTTTTCAGTATAATATTCTTTAATTGAATCCCATGTCATAGAACACAGGATTTTAAAATAAAAATAAATGTTCTGTGATACCTGTTTGAGTAATTTTAGTTAAAACTCCAACAGTAAGTATATTTTTCAGCAGAAATAGATTTAAAACAAGCAGAATATCAAAAATTATTCATTGTAAGTCATACACTTTAAAATGAAAGTATGCTGTTTATTCTTTTTATAAAGAATGTGCTCAAACAAATTTGAAATATCTTTAGAAAAGCAGACTTAATATAGAAAAAGCTTTAATCTCCATTTATGATGGGTTCTTCAAATTCTCTATTTTCAGCTCAATTTAAAATTGTACGTTTTTGTGAAGGGCTAAATATTTTGTATATCTAATTTATTTTGAATTTAAAAGCTTTTATAAGTATGGTATATATTCTTAGAATCTCATTTTCTTATAACTATGCGTTTTTGAATTTCTTTAAGACGTTAAATGGCAAGATGTTAACGTTGATTTATTGAAAGGATAATGCAATACTCTTTCCAACATTTACATAGTTTAGAAATAAATTTAAGTGCCAAGTATTTTGAAATGTGTGCATACTCTCTGAAATAGCGGTCCAACACCAAACTATAAAATAAGCTCTTGAATGGCACTTTAGCATTTGCACGCGTTATTGTGTTTTCGTTCAAATTCAATCATTTTATTTTATTTTATAACCGTAATTGAACAGCTGACCCAATTTTTGATTTTACGACTACTAATGTTCGACTCCGTAGCCTTGTAATTTAGAACCCAAAACAGAAGAAGAGGGAACTCCTAGGTCGAGTATTGGGAAAAACCTGCCTTCACGGAGGACTTTTTTGATGGAACTAACCCGCATTTGCGTTACATGGAGTGGATGACCACGAGAACCTTCCCACGGTTAGCTTGATGGCAAGGAGACTCTAGCTCATGATCCATCTAACACTGAGGATATTTCATGTCAGCACTGTGGTCGGTGCAAAGCGGATGTGAAATTCGTACCGACCAGTCATCGCTGGGGTTCGAACCCGGTTCACCTCATGACAAGTAATAAAATATAAAAATTGATTCAATTTGCATGATAATATGGTTGAATTTGGAACAATATTAAGGTAACAAAATTAATTGCATGATACTGTGATTCTAGACGCTCCGAAAATCGCAAGAGTATATATTTGGACACTGAATTAAAATAGACACCTTAAGCTGCTTTTGCATTTGTAATTAAAACTATAGTTGTCATGAAAGATACGAGAAAATATGTCAAGTTTTAAAAATGTAAAGTAAATACCAGTTCTATAGCAAATATATAATTTAATAGTGCAAAAAATAATAACAAAAACATAATAGCAAAAAAAGTGTTTTTTTAAAGTATTTTCTGACATATACATAGTTTTAACGGAGGGATCATTTTCATCTTATATTTATAAGTAAATCTAATTGGTGCGCATGTACGTTGTGGCCTATGTCATTGGGGCACTTCTCTCTGTATGTGATCAACAGTTATCGGCACGGGCGAATGAGAACCTGATTGGTAACGCACGAAAAACCTACCAATCAAGTTCTTGATTTCTTGCCACGAAAATTGGAGTTACAAGAAACGCATATAGTTAGTTCCTAGAATATTTAAAAATGTGAACTATCGAAATTATTCTGAAAAAGCTGCAGACAGAAAAACGGGCAAAATAGTAAGTAGATGTATATAAATAGATAAATAAAGATAATATTTTTATTACTAATCCCCGTTCCGCCCCCAAAGAGGGCATCCAGGTATAAATAAAAAGATAATATAGACAAAAAAGACGCATAATAGAATAAAGATAATATAGACACATAATAATAAATAAATAAATAAATACCCGATCATTAAAATCGGCTATATTCTTTAAAATTTTGAGTATCATCGTCATACGCAATGGTATCATTTACGTATTATTTCAATATTAAATTATTCAAAGCTTAAATGATTGATATCGGATTGATACTAAGTCACCTTAATTTAAAAGTTTTCAGTCTTCTTTAAAAACAGATGTAAAAAAGATTACGATGATTTCTTTAATCGACTGAGTCCTATCAAGAAATAAATGCTTCTTAGCCCTCCATACTCTATGACGAGATAAATTAGGATCCAGTGAAGAAAAGCAATCTACACAGAGAAAAATATTCTTCACAAATCGCAGTACTTAATAAGTAGATAATGACATTACTGGTAAAAAAATCTAATTTCGTTAATACTATATGGTGTTTAAACTATTTATTTTGTATATCTTTATCTTCGGATGATAGCTGTTTACAGAAAATTCTGGTTTTCAAAATTATAGTTGTAATATTTTCACATATAATAAAAAATAGAAAACTAA